TCCTCGAGAGCCTGACGAAGCTGATCTTCGGTATATTGAGGCATTATATATAGAAGAAGACATGTGCAAAAGATGAGCCCATTTGGACGCGAATTGAAAATGTTGTGATAAAAGGAGGTTGGGGGTGGGCATTGGGTTGTGGTGGATTTTCGCGTTTTTGTGGGTGCCAGAAACAGGGGGGTGCCAGGAAGTGGGTATGTTGACTTACTCACTCGTCGGGTTGCCCTTGGAGTCGCGAAGAGACATCTTGTAAAGAGGCTCATCGATGAGTTTCCTGATCTCATCGTAGAGTCCAATCTGGTCGAGAACACGAGAACCATTGGGCAAAATGCCGATACTTGCGCCCACCTGGGGGGCCATCTCTCGATACCCCTCGAGAATGAGATAGTTGATCCCCACGCGCTCGAGCAGGTTCGCCAGCGTCAAGCCAGCTATCCCGCCGCCGGCGATCAGAACCGTAAAGTCCTTGGAAGGCATGACGACTAGAAAATGGTGTCAGTTTTTTCTAACTTCAAATTCGACCAGTAAATTGTGTTGAATCAAGTTATTCGCTGAGTAGAGTGTAGAGCCTTTCTTCCAAATTGGTGAAATCGGCGGGCTCCCGGCAGCTCGTTATATACAATGAATTTTTAACAGCTACATTGCGGACGTCATCAAAGCGCATTCAACCCGGATTGGCAATAACGACTCTTGACGTATTGTTCAACGACTTTGACGACGATAGTGGAGTTGAGAAGTCGAGGGAATTCTTGATTACAGCCTCAATGATCCAGGGCAGGCAGCTCGGAACCGAGGTGAAGCTTAAATACCATCGGACAAAACCCATCCAGATCGGCCCCACGTGGGAATGGAATAGTGGAATGGCACCCTTTCTAGTAACGGGAAAGTTATTTACTCACAATTTGTTTCTGATGTCGCGCTCCAATCGGGTTGTTGGAATTGAGGAAGTTTTGGGGGTACAGATTTGAACTTATCACCAGCAACGCAACTCAAGCGTCTTCACCATCTCGCAAGTCAGCTAGCGCTGACAACGTCGGGCGTGCTTGGGGCCTTATGTAGCCGACTTCTGAGAGAAATGCAAGCAAAACCCACCTTGTGAGCGATCCCTCAAGTGTCACAAGTGGGTGTTACCAATGTCCCAATGACAGAAAAAACGAAGTCCGATAAGGCTCCTCATCTCCACCAGGATTCTCGGATCGGGACTTTGGCAAGCAGGATTTCCACCGCGGCGGCCGCCGACCTTGTTCCGAAAATGGATCGAACGGCAAATGAATTACACCAACGGACCAGTGAGCCTCAAACGAGTGGGTACTCTAACGGTCTTGACCTCCATTTTCTGCTTACGTCGTACGCATTGGCAAGGGTTGCTTGATTCTAGAGTCGCTCTAGACGCACCAAGACCCTGGAATATTGTCCGGCCATTCGAGGGAAGAAGGAGTAGGGACCCAAGCTGTCAGCGATGGTAACATTATGTTCGTACCATTGCAGAGCGGTGGCCGCGTGTGATGGCTGCTGATACGTCCGCCGCAGCGGGTATCCCTTGCACCCTGGGCACGGAGAACTGCCCATCACCAGTGGCCGGGCCGCCCCCCGGTAGGTAATTGCGGGCCGGGTCGTATGTTGACGGATTCTCGGGGAAGCCCCGCAATAGTTGAGGTCGCTACAGAACCACTGCCAGTAGCCTGTACCGGCCGTATGTCACACGTGTTAAGCTACCTGCAAATGCTCTCATTTGATGATAAGGCGTCTTGATACTAGCTATGGAAGAATGGATTTGCTCCTAGTACCACAAGAAAGCATGATTATTTACAGGAACTCATTCTAGTCCTCAGAACTTGAGGCGATATGACAAGACTGTTCGTGGCTCTTTAGCGGATAGAACTTGACTCAGAGATGTATTTGTCAGTTACTTCGAAAATCGAAATAGATATCCAGCCGCAGATCTGCGGGTGTATCCGTATGAGCATATCCAGTCTCGGACAGTCGGGGTGCGGCGAGACTTGGCACTACTACACATACCTGCAAAGGCAAACTGAAATAGTAGAGCCTTTTTTATAGAGTGGAGTGACTAATCAAATAATAGTCTAGATATGCTCCTGCGTACAGGTGCCGGCACTTCTACTCCCAAGACTCCGGTGGGTTTCCCCGCGTTCATATCGATAGTCTAGCTTCTCCCGCATACATGTAAACTTAGAACTACGTATTCAACGACCCACTGTGCGCTTGTACAATGCCACGCCAGAGAGATTCGAAATAAGGCAATGAGGAGAAGAGGTCGGACAATCTGAATGCTAAACCTCGTTATCGTGAGTCGAGAATTCTAGCATGCCTTGATCATTCGGTGCGGGTGGTCATTGAGACTGTATAGAGTGTCAGAAATTTTCAGCCAAAAGCAATGTGTCAAACGCCTGAGTCTTCAATAATGAGCCATTAGCGTTCATTCTTTGTGGAAAAGTCGTAGCCATGGTCAGACTCTTGCGGCAGTGCGGAGATAGAGCCTCATTGCAGCCAGCGATGTGCATCCCCGCAACTTTTTGTGTTAGTTCCACATTTGCGCACCTCGCAAGGACCCCGATCAACCATTGTACGTGGAATAATTCCTTCGTCATTTCAGATCACATTCATTTGCTTGCAGCTTGGACATGCCGCGGCTGTGTTGTTTGTTCACAAATCGCTAGTCTAACCTATCTGACTGAGAGGAGAAGCTGCCTTCATCGGTCTGGTCATGCTCGCACCCGGCCCTCAACTCTGCTATCGCATTTCCTTAATCATCAAACTGATCTTAGCCGTTGACAGCCGCGCTCATGGCTATCTCTGAAGCAGTTGCAAAGATTACCAGCATGTAAGAATCCGCATAGTGCTCCTTTCTGGACAGTCATACTAACACTGGAAGCAGGGGGCACGTATATGGCTTGATGATAAAGGTTGACCCATCTCACAAAGACGTAGCAACGAAGATTCACTTTGATGAAAATGTGTCCAAGATGGCACTTGATATTTGACTCATTTACATATCTTACACAAGACTGTATACATCTTTAAAAGTATGGACAACAAGAAGGTTCAAGTTGGTATCAATAGGAAACGGATCTCCTACTAATGGTCCCGAAAACGCCGCCACCTAGCAGATCTTCACGCAGCGGTAGGCGCATACGCAAAGAACTCCTTAACAGCGACACCGGCAAACTGCCCACCGCTTCCAGAGGCGGTCAAAACAGCCCTCAAAGCCTTGGTCGAAACAGTCGTGAAGCTGACCTCCTTGGGCGTATCCGAGACATCTGTCGGGAACGACGTGGCAGAGACAGCCTTCCATGAGGTGCCATCCTGGTACTCGACCGTCCACGACTTGGGCGGCGCGACACCAACGTTGGCACCGGCATCTTGATCAGCAAACAGCGCCAGCGCGACGCCGTTGAGCTCGACGGTGCTGTTCCAGGTCAAGGTAAGGGTACTCGTCTCGGGGGACTGCTCGGCGTTGTACGAGGACCAGTAGTCGGGCGGCAGGGGCGCCTCCTCGACGCGGCCGTCATTGATGGACTTTATCCAGTACTGGATGGGGGTCTCGCCCGCCGACGAAGCGACGGCCTTGGGCGCGATGTTGCGCGTCGGCTCGGCGGCGGCGGCGGCGCGCTTGGTCTGGACCATCTTGTTAATGGCCGGCGGGGAGGCCGAGTCATCCCAGGTGATCTTGTCGATGGCGACGGAGCGGCGGAAGTGCGTGCCGCCCTCAGCGTCGCGGGTGTGGTAGGCCAGACCCCATTCGCCGTTGGAGAGCTGGTAGGCGCCCGGGTGGGAGGTGGTGGAGGAGACGATGTCGACGAAGACGCCGCGGAAGGTCCAGGGGCCGAGGGGGGACTCGGCGGTGCCGTAGGCGAGGCAGGCGTGGTAGCTCGTGGGCGTGCAGGGGGAGTCCGCGCCGGCGTTGTTGGCGGCGTAGAGCATGTAGTAGGTGCTGTTGCGCTTCATGAGCCAGGGGGCCTCGAAGAAGCCGGTGAGGGAGTCGACGTCGACGACGGAGCCCTTGATTGTCACCATGTCGGTGTCCAGCTCGTAGCCCTTGAGGTAGCCGAAGGTGCCGAAGTAGATGTAGACCTTGCCATTGTCGACGAGGACGGTCGGGTCAATGTTCTGGATGTTGTTGCCGGGGGAGGGGACCGTCTGGGAGATGATGGGACCGCTCGGGTGGGCGTCCTTGAAGGGGCCGAGAGGGCTGTCAGAGACGGCGACGCCGATGGCGAAGGGGTCCGACGCGGAGGTTGACTTTTGTGTGACGGGGCTGTACAAGTAGAACTTGCCATCCGGGCCCTGAACAATCTGACTGGCGTAGGCGGTGCCCTGGGCGGCCCAGGAAAAGATTGAGTTGGGCTGGGCAACGTCGCGGTGGAGGGTCCAGTCGGCGCCGGCCGGATCCGGATTCTTGGCCTCAAAGATTTGCCATTCGTTCATGACAAAGCCGTTCTCGTTGGGGCCGGCCTCGTCGCGGCCGGAGAGGATGTAGAGGGTGTCATTGACGACGAGCGGCGCCGGGTCGGCGGAGTAGACGGAGCCATCGGCGAGGATCGGGTTGCCGGTGGACTTGAAGGTGGTGGAGGTGGACTGCCGGCGGACCGGGATGAGGCCCGCGCTCAGGGGCTGGACCAGCAGCGAAGTCGCGAGACTCGCCCACACGAGGTTGTTGAACATGGTTGAGATGGGGCACACGAATGGGTAACGAATGGAAGGGAAGTAAGCAGCGAGAGACAAAAGAATGGAAGAATCACACAGTGATTCGAAGAGTTGACTGACAGTTCGAGTGAAACTAGAGAGAGTTCCCAGGATCGGGTAGGTCTGCTTATACTTAAGAAAAGTTATTAAGACATAGTTTGAGAGTCTCTGTCATGAATAACCTTAGTTGAGCGCATCCACTCTTTCTGCTTCCCCTGGAATTTCGTGAGTGACACGAATAAATTGGCTTTGCGCCAGATCGTCCGCTAAAACCCCCAAGCGACCTCGTACTTTTGCTGCCCCCCTTAACATGGCACAACCGGGGTGTCCATGAGAACGACCGAGTCAATTCATTATTCTCCTTCTCGAAGAACTTTAACAGAGTCAATTAGGTAACCGTCGCCTCGCTCTCGCATCCTTTACGTACTGGGTTAATTACCTGCTCTATTATCCCACTTGATTTCATCATTTCAGTCTGTATCCCACCCGGCTCAACTTCTTTAAAGAGTCTTGGAATTCAATCTCTGATAATCTACGTTGGTGCCGCGCAGCCGGCGTGAACCATGCGTGGATTTTGATTCCCCCGTTGGAGGGATGGAGCCTCAGTGGCATCAAATGTCACTCTCTATTTGCGGCCCAATCAAGATGAGACCAGGCGACTTTGAGGGTTGCATTCAACGGTCGATGGGCTGTTGGTAACTTGGTACCCCGCGTTAAACCCAGCTAGTTTCTTGCGCTAAAAGGAGGGATACGGGCTTGGTTCGATGCTTAATCACGTCTAGCATCCTTTGACCTTCCAAGTTGAGGTTATCCAGAGAGGAAAAGGTGTGTGACTTCAAGGTAAGCGCACATCACAATTCCTAAATGCTTAGAGTCGCTGGGAAGAGTCGGATCAGCCGCCCGATCCTGTGTCGCACTCGGGCGTTTGTCCCGGAGGAGTTATCCACAGATTATGAGCCAAAAGCGACGTGTGAGAGTCTGTTCCATCTGATTTTGTCAAGACAAAGAGGTTTTTGGTGAAGCTCCGTTCCGCATCTGTACAGGTGTGATCGGGCACGATGCCGGACACGAGGTGGCATCGCCATCTACCTACAGTATGCACCTTGGGTTGCAGTTGAATCGTTCGCCTCAATGAACCCCTCAATTCACGGTAGGCGAAAGCATCATCAATAACGTAACCGAGTTGCCTTAAGCCATCATGTTGGACACATTATATAAGAGCAAGTTCGAATGAACTTGCAAGTTGGTCTTCAGATCTGTAGTCGATAGGTCTCACTCAACCGCCCAAGTTGCCACTTCTGCCACGATGGTCTCCTTTCTCGGCACACTCGTGTCTGCCGGCCTCTTCGTCACGGGTGTCCTCTCCCAAGACAACCTAGGCCTCAGCAGCGGATACATCACCCTCGCAACAAAGAACTTCAACCTCCAACTCGTCAAGAACGCCCAAGTCCTAGCCTCCCTCAAACCCGCCGGCGACACCTTTGACTTCCTCCCGCTGGACTACCTCTCCCTCCGCGCCCGCAACGGCCAGTACCACTGGGGCGACATCACCTACCGCTACCGTCAATCCGGCACAACAGCCTGGACAAACGGCGACTCCGCCGCGGCCCGCCAGCCCGTTACCACCATCGCCCCGGCCACCGGCATCCTTGCCTCCTCCCGTCTCGGCCCTACCCTCCCCTCCGGCAGCCCGCTCAACATCACCCGAGAATGGCTCGACGTCTCTGGCGACCTCGGCCTGCGCTTCACGCTCCAGAACTCGGGCTCTTCGGCCATCGAGATTGGTAGCCTTGGCTTCCCGGCCGAGTTCAACAGCATCTTCACGAACCGCTACGCCGCCGACATGCAGCGGGTCTGCTCCCTCTCGGATCCCTACGTCGGCATGCACGCCGGCCAGATCCGCGTGGCGCCCACCCGCGGCACCGGCGCCGCTCTCGTTGTCACCCCGCTGGGCGACACGCCACTTGAGGCCTACCGCAACCTCGCCGAGCGCAGCTACGAGGGAACCTACTACGGCAGCCAGACGTTTGAAGGCTTCTACGAGTGGCAGGTCCTCACAAAGGCCTGGGCCGAGAATGAGTGGCGTTCTCAAACACCATGGAACGTTCCCTCGTCCAGGACCCTTCAACCAGGCCAGTCACTCCAGTTTGGAGTCCGCTTCTCCGTCGCAAAGGGCGGCGTCCGGGAGCTTGATGCCACCGTCCGTGGTACCGGAACGCCCACCGCCGTCGGCGTGCCGGGCTACATCATCCCACGTGGCGAGCCAGCGCAGCTCTTCCTCCAATACGCCCAGTCCACGGTCCAATCCATCGCCTCGGAACCAGCCGGCGCCTTAACGGTCACCCTTATCTCGGCGGGAAAATACTCAGTCACCCCCTCAACGACAGCCTGGGGCCGCGTCCGCCTCACCGTGACCTACGCCGACGGCAAGCTCCAAACAATCCACTACTACGTGACCAAACCATCCACCGAGGCCGTCGCCAGCCTTGGCAAGTTTCTCACCACGGCGCAATACTTCACCGACACATCAGACCCCTTTGGCCGCGCGCCGTCGGTGATGACATACGACTACGAGACCAAATCCATCGTAACACAAGACTCCCGCGCATGGGTCGCCGGCCTCAGCGACGAAGCCGGCGCAGGCTCGTACCTCTCCGCCTTCATGAAGCAAGCCGTCCAACCAAACGCGGACGAGGTAACCAAGCTCGAAGTCTTCGTCGACCGCGTCCTCTGGAAGACGATCCAAACCGCCGACTTCGCCGTCCGCAAAGCAATCTTCTTCTACGAGCCCGCCGCCGTGCCGGGGTACGCCTACTCCACCTCCATCGACTGGACCTCCTGGACGTCCTGGAACAAGGCCGCCGCCTACTCCATTGACCGCGCTTATAACTACGTCCACGTCGCGGGCGCATACTGGTCGCTCTACCGCGTCGGACGGGCTTACCCGGCCCTTCTTAAGACGCACGCGTGGGACTGGTATCTGAACCAGGCATATGAGACGGTTATGCGGGCGATGAAGGGGGTTGTCGGGTATAACCGCGTCGGGCTTATGGGGGAGACTGTGTTTGGCGAGATCCTGGCCGATTTGGGACGCGAGGGGCAGACGACTAAGGCGAGTGCTTTGTCTGCTGCTATGAAGTCGCGGGCGGCGCAGTGGGATACGGAGGAGGTGCCGTTTGGGAGTGAGATGGCGTGGGATTCGACTGGGCAGGAGGGTGTTTACTACTGGGCAAAGTGAGTTCCTGGTCCTTTGAATCCTTCCACGGCGAGACCTCCTGAGGCGTTGAGGCCGGAGACGGAACGAAGTTTGCTTGGAGACATTGACTTACAGGTATCAAAGGTACTTTGGCTACACCAACACGGCGACAAAGTCCGTCAACAGCGTCCTCGGCTTCATGCCAACCGTACCTCACTGGGGCTGGAACGGCAACGCTCGCCGCTACTGGGACAACATGTAAGTCGTCATTTATCCCCAAATCCTTCAACTCCATCCCTTCCATTCACCACGAGCCTCTCTCTCAACAATGGACTTCGACATCTGACAACCAACCCACCAGCTACGGAGGCAAACTCCGCCGCATCGAACGTCAAATCCACCACTTCGGCTCCGGCCTGAACGCCCTCGTCCTCCTCTCCGCCTTCCGCTCCAGCCCGACAGACACCTACCTCCTCCGCACAGGCTACGGCGGCACCACAGGCCCCCTCTCCAACATCAACCAAGACGGCTTCGCCGCTGCCTCGTTCCACAGCTGGCCCGACACGCTGAAATGGGACGGCATCAGCGGCGATTACGGCCCCAACTTTTTAGGTCTTGCGTTGGGATCGGGCACGTACGTCGCGCAGGATTCCGAGCTCGGCGTGTTGGCGTTTGGAGGTGTTGTCACGGCTGGCGGAGGTGGTTCAGGGGCGGTGAGCGTTACGACCAAGGACGCGGTCAGGAGGAAGGTGTTTATCGGGCCTTTGGGGGTGCTTGTGAGTGTCGATGCTGGGATTATCCAGGACTTCACGTTTACGGCTTCTTCGAAGAGCATTTCTGTCACGTTGGCGCAGTTGGATGGTGTCCCGAAGGCTGCGAGCGCGGTTGTTTGGTTGGAGAGTACGACTGGGAGTGGCGCGTTCAGGGTTACGACATCGGGGATCGCGCAGGCGAGGGGCGGGTGGTCTGTTCCTCTCTCGGGGAGCAGCGTAGCGGTTCAGATTGGGCCTGCGTAGGCTTGTCTATAAGGTTGTCGTGTTTGGGGATGAGACGTGTTTGATTTGTTTATATTTTCTCTTCTTTCTAGGACGCCAGTGAGAGCTGACGACTTTCGACATTAGCCTCATCTCGTTCTAACCATCTATAAAGTCTTCTAAACCAAGCTCGGTGCCTCGATTCCGACACAATTCAACCCCCTCTCCCTCCCATCATAATCCCTCTCGCATCTCACGTACCATCACAACCCTCACAGCTCTTTCTCCAAAACCTCAAACCACAAATCATCCCTCAACGCAACACCCCCAACCATCTCCTTGTACGGAAACTCCCTCCTCTCCCCAGTCTTCACATACCCCCTCCTCTCATACCACGCAATCAGTTCCCCCCTCATCCAAAGCACACACATCTCCATCCTCGCCACTCCCCATTCCCGCTTCGCATGCCCCTCCGCAAACTCCAACACCCGCCTCCCCACCCCGCCAGCCTGCCGCTCAGGCGAGACGGCGAAAAGGCCGAAATACGCTACTCGGGGATCCTGTTTACTGCGTACGACTTCGCAGCATGCTAGCGGGGTGGGCGGCTTCTCGGTGACGGCGTCGTCGGCGGAGTTATCGGTGACAATGAGAACCGCGCCCTCGGGCTCGGTGATCTTGGCGAGCAGACCGCGCTCGTCGATGCGTTGGTCTGCGACTAGATCCGCTTCCGTCGTCCAGCCTTTGCGGGAGAATTCGCCGCGGTAGGCGGAGCGGATTAAGGGGAGGAGGGTGGGGACGTCGGAGGGTGTGGCGGGGCGGAAGGAGAGGGGTGTTTGGGGGGTTGAGACTGTCATTGCTGGAGGTGGTTATGACGGGCGGTATTGGTGTATAAGATTGTCGTTGTTCTTATGTTGCGATGGTTGGTTGTAAGAATTGGGGAGTTGTGGTGGGTGGTGATGCGTGATTTTACCCCCGAGTAGAGTCCGTATCGTGAGATGCTCGGATGTCTTGCGGATGAGGTCTGAGAGTTGATTTGTCTTGATCTTACAGGGAGATTGAAAAATTGAATGGGTTCCAATATGATGAGTCAAATCTGTCAGAAAATGTCATCTGAGATCGTGAACATTACAGAATCTAAATACAACAACCACTCGCCGGCTTGTCACCCCAGAACCCACCGAACCGCCACACCGGGGCATCGTCAAGAAAATTTCCCTCAGTCCAGTGTCCAGTGTCGTTGACCCACGCCTTTCCATGTACCGAATCCCCACAGGGTCTTGTCATCCATCGTCGTAAGTTATTTCGAATCCACAGGGCAGGAGCACACTGAATCTCCAAAATAGACGAGTATATAGACGCTGATTGGTCTAAACTCAACATCCAGTCAGTAGCCCTGTTCAAGTTGGAGACCAAGCAAGTGTAAAAAAGAGGTGGAGCATCGAGTCATGCAAGGGCGCCGTTAACTTGACATATTTTTGACATGTTCGACATGGCCATTGTCCTCGGATCGGCCCCACCGAATCGGCTGCCACGTACGAATCCGCGCCGGCAAGATTGCATTTCCCGCCGCCCTTGAGATCCGGACTATCAGACGTGCCTAAATCGCCTTCCTCAATCGACACCAACTGGAGCCTTCAAAGTCAACAGTCTCATGTAGGCCGAACGCTCCCAACTCACCTGAATGAAGAAAGCCGTTGACCCATCCACACAAGCCAAGTGATCTTTCAATCCTCCAACCACCACCTAACCGTATCGCAACCCAGGAACATCGCTGTAGTCTGATCTGCAAGTCCAAGTCATCAGATGAACTTACACAGACTCACAGACCTGCAAAAACCACTACAAGGATCAAAGCTCGACAAATGTCTCAGAAACTCACAAAGTGCCCGGGCAGAAATAGAGAGTAAACAGTAATGCGCGCCATGCGGGGTCAGCTGTTCCAGGCGTGGTATTATCGTCAGAGACATCTACCTTACATCAAGGGTATCAATACAAGCACGCGGAAAGCAGAAACAGAGGAAACAAAAAAAAAGATGCAATGCTATGCTATGCCATGCTGCGTCATACCGCGTAAAATGCGCTCTCTTCCTCGCCATCATTCCCAACTCTTCTCTCAGACTTCTTTCCGTTTTGCCTTTTAGAGACTCCCAAATCTGCCTTCACTTTTTCACCTTGGGCGAAAGCACCTTGACGCCCTGCGCGCTATCCCACACACTGGCACTCACCCTCGCAGGGATCTTGCGCCCCCTCAACCTCTGATCAATCAACCACAACCCAACCACGAACTCAGCCTTGCCCAGCATCCCCCGATGGCTCCGGTCCACGGCGTCCCATACCTCAGCCAGCTCCTCCTGCGGCAGCCGCGAACGCCGCCAGACCTCGCGCGCCACCACGTCCACCACGCAATCAGCTGCGTCATGAGGCAGCGGGCTGCCGCAGAGACTTTGAATCGTCAAGCCCGTGGTTGAAGCAGAGTCAACGAGCAGCACGCCGCGGTTGCTCGCCCACACCGCCTCGTACCGCCTGCGTTCGCGGACCGTAATCTCGTCTCGCCATCGCCGTCGCGCGCCCTCCTTGTGGGAGTGCTTGTTGCTGGCGCGCTGGTGCTTCTTCTTGCGGATCTCGTCCTCGTCGTCCGACTTCGACGGCGGCTGGCGGAGGGTCTGTCGCATGCGTGGTGACTTTGTGCGGTTAGGTAACTGGGGCGGAGATAGCGTAGAGTTGCCCGTATTTGAGGGTGTCAAGCGGGCCGTGGCGAGGGATCCGGCCATGATCGCGTTGGACAGAGAATTCAGCGGTAGACTTGTAGTCGACGAGGCGGGTGTGCGACGCGGAGTTGTTCGGCTTGGTGAGCTGTTTGCTGATGAGCGGCCGGGGGTGCTGTGCGTAGAGTGTGTCTGATGAGCCGTCGAGCGAGATGGCACGTATTCGGGAACGGCGGTCTGGTTTGACTCTGCCGAAACAAACGTGTCGTTGGAAGAGCTTGTATCAGCAGTCGATGGCCTTGGCCCAGATTCTGGCCGACGAAACGGCTCCTGGAGGTGACCATGTCCATAAACCGATGCCATACTCCGAGGCTTCTTCAATGGAGGAGGCTCCCGCTCCCTTGATTTCGTACCACGCGGCTGAGGTGGTGTGGGCGGCTGCAACTTGCTCTTTGACACCGGTCTCTTCAGCTCAGGGGAAGCGATCCCGTCGTCTCTCCCGACAAAGGGCGGCGAGACAGGTTCAACCGGCTTGGCCTTGGTCCGCGACCTCCTTGGTTCCGGCGTCGTAGGGGGCTGCGCGGCCTTGGGCTCCGGCATGAGCGTTTGGGTAATAGGCACCCTCGTGAGCTCCGACCTTGACCGCACTTCCGGGGCTTCTGAAGCTTTGGATGACATGTTGACAGTGGTCTCTGGCTCCCTGCCACGCGGCAAATGCTCCAACACAGTCTGCCTGTGCACAGCCTTGGCCGGCGACAAAACAGGTTTCGCAGGCGACGACTTGAGCGTGGGTTTCCTCGCCTGCGGCGTGAGATCCCCCCTGGCCTCCTCCTTTTCGACAACCATATTTGGCGTAACAGGCCTTGGCTTGACCTTGGGTTTCGTCCTCGGCACTGCCGGCCTCCGCTCTCCTTCACCGACCTCCTCCTCAACGATACCCATCCTCGCCGCCTTGGCACGGGCAGGACTCAACTCCCTCTCGGGCGTCAACGGCCGAACCTTGGGCCTGGCCGCAACATCCCCGCCGCTCTTCTTCACAGGATCAACATCCTCCCCGCCCCCTCGCTCAAACATGCTTATCAAATGACCCGTGGCGGGGATGGATGTCGTATCCGGCAAATCCAGGCTGCTCACCACGCTCTCCGTCTCCCCGCCGCCGCTGCCGCGCCGGTTTCTCCTCGCCAGCTGCATCTGCTGTAACTGATTCATCTGCGCGGGCGTCAGCGCGGATGCGGCGGGACTCGCGTGCGGCTGCGGACTAGGCGATGCGCTCCGCGAGGCGGCTAGCGTGGCGGCGATGTAGCTCGGGCTTTTTGGGTCGAGCCGCGTCGTGTGCGGCGTGAGGTGAGATGTCGTCGACGAGGCTGCGGGACTCGAGGCGAGGAAATTGGAGAGACGGTCTCGCATGTCGGATGTGCCATCGCGACCGAAGCGGCTGTCGCCTGGGGTCGTTGCCAGGCTCGCGCCCGTGTGCTGGCGCTGTATTGGGCTTGTGCTCGTGCTTCGGTCGTAGTTTGACGCGGTGGAGGCGGCGATGAGGCTCGCGCCGCGGCGACGGGTGATGCTGCTGGCATTTGGTGTGGGTTTCGGGGGCGGGATGGGCTTCGGTTTCGTCTTGTTGAAGGCGAGGTTCGCGCCCTTTAGAGCCGCGGCTGCGTCGGAGGCACCGCCCGAGGGTGGGTGATGGTGGTGGTTGTGGTTGTGGTGGGTATTCATCATCATGGCGATGGACGACCGCGGGATGGTATTGTAGTGAAGGACGGCAGCATCGGAGGGCTATTGAGTTGTGATCAGGGTTTTGGTCGATCAGCAGGGCAAGGATGTTTCTGTCATCCTGGGAGCTTCGCCTTGGTCGCAGATAGTCGAGGTGGTTGGTTGATGGGCGTACGGAAGATGGGTAGATTCGAGCAAAGAAAGTACAGGAGGGGTCGGGTGATCGTCGTCAGGATTCGATAAAGGCGTGAGGCTGAGATTGAGGTAAAGTAAGATCCCTAGGAAGCGAGGCAGATAGGAGTCGAGTTGAAGAAAGAGGAAAAAGGAAAGCTGTACAGAGATGAAGACGAATAAAGACAAGGTGGTAATATTACGGATACCAATGGCACAAGGTACTAATTTACTCGGCTGCGCGGCGCAGAAAGTGGAAACGACACCTGCCACCTGCACCAGCATGGTAGGTACCGCGGCGTTGCGGCTGAGCTCCAGCTTCCTGCGGAGATGCGCACCGCGCCCAATTGTTCAATCATTCGGGGGAGTTATGGGGAGTTCTCCTCAGTTAGCAACAGCAAACGGAAAACAGACCGAAAAAAAAAGATGGAACGAACGGGCGGCCCGGCGACCTCTCCTTCAGGCTTCTCATCCCCGGAAATCCGTCCATCTCAACTTCTCAAGCAAGGTACCTTGCATCGTAGGTATCCACCCTCTCCGGGGCCGTCGGGTCTGTTCACGTCCGCCCGTGGGGTTTCCTCCCCAAGAAAGCTTCACTTGCTGTCTGTATATGGACAGAAACTCCATACCTGAGTGGCCTGACTAGATCCGCGAGTCAATGATTTAAACTTACTAGCACGCTGTTACAAGGTATTGGGGAAATGACGCATCTGGGGGAACATCCTCTCAGTACCTTAATTAACAAGACGCAACCACTAAGCACCACCAAGGAAAACGGACGTAGATCTCGACATCACCACCGTCATAGCGGATCTACACACACCATGGCCCTGGCTAGATGCTCATCCTTCCCAGTAAACCATTCAATAAAGTAGTCCGCTGGCACCGGATGGACGGGAGCGGACGGGAGTCATTTAGTTCTGGCCTCTCACTGCTTTTGCTGGTTGATACCTTACTCCTCGCTCACTTCACCTACTTTCCTTAGCTCCCGCGTCCCGGGCGTGCCGCCGCCCACCGGCCATCTCAGTCTTACACCCACCTCAGCTCACCCACAACTCACAGCACCAATCGATACAAACGCCGGAACTCGCGGCTTTTGCTGATCAGGGTGGCATCATATTCCTACCCGGTTTCATTTCGACTTCACAAGGGGCACATTTCACGTCTAGACCGGACACGATAATGATGATAATGTACGCATCACTGCTTTTTGTTTTTACTACACTACGAAAAGATTCCTATGTATCCCTTGAGGCTGAAAAGCG